AAAAGTATGAAGGCTATTGCTTAACGCATTGTAAGCCGCCCTGAGTCTCCGGAGAAGGGTGGCATATAAATCAAATAAAAAAAAAATGGCAGTCCAGTCTCTTCATGAAAGCCTCCAGTGATGCAGCTCCCACAACTTCTGTTCCATTGGTTGATTGTTCTCACTGTCAGACAATTCCTCATTTCTAGGTTGAATCTCTCCTTCTTCTTGACAGGATTAGGCCAGGGAAGGAGTTTTAAAAATGTTAATACAGAGCAGAAGTTTCTTGTCAGAGTTCTTATGTCTTTTTAAATACACGTTCTAATTAGCAGAATTGATTTTATTAATTTGGAATAGGGCTGCAATGCTGTTTCTATGTTTATGTATTTTGATCCTGCATTTTCAGTATTTAAGAGTTAGCTTATAGTATTAGACTGTAAAGATTTCAAATTGTCTTGTAACTGTGTTGCTTGTGTGTGATGGAGCCCCCACACCTTCTGAAGGCAAGCTATTCCACTGGTTGATTGGTCTCACCATTAGGAAATTTCTTCTAAGTCCTAGGTTGCTTCTCTCTTTGGTTAGTTTCCATCCATTGTTTCTTGTCATGCCTTTTGGGGCTTTCAAAAATAGATTGACCCCCCTCATTTTTGTAGGAGCCCCTCAAATTTCCTGACAGAACAATTAATCAGTGGAATAACTTGTCTCCAGAAGTTGTAAATGCTCCAACACTGGAACTTTTTAAGAAGAGATTGGATAACCTTTGTCTGAAGTGTAGGGTTTCCTGCCTAAGCAGGGGATTGGATTAGAAGACCTCCAAGGTCCCTTCTGTCAGGGCATTTATTAATCCCATGTTTGGCTCTGGGACTAATCACCCTGTTTAATTAGAGGAGATGGGTCGTGGCTCCTTGTTTGCAATATTCTGAAAAAGAAACGCGAAGAAAAGTTTCTAATAAAACTCATTTATTTGTTATAAAGAAAATAAAACACCTCACTAAGAAAGTTAATTGCTACATTTTTGAAAGTAATTCTTGCCGGCTATCTCAGCCGGACCTTGCTGGAAAGAGAACAAAGGAAAAAGTGTGTGAAGCAAGTGAAAGAATGTGGGTGGATACGGAAACACATAGCTTACTGATAAGAAGTTGGCAAGCTATGGAGAGTCTGACAGTCCAGAAATGATGAGTTCAGCTGGCAAATAAAATAACGCAGTGACACCTTCCAACTCTGTTATCCTATCCTATCTTATCCTATCCTAAATATTTAACAGATTAACAGAGTTGGAAGGGACCTTATAGGTCATCAAGTCCAACACCCATCCTTACCCCACCACCGCTCAAGCAGGAGACCCTACACTATTTCTGACAAATGGCAGTCCAATCTTTTCTTGAAAGTCTCGAGTGATGAAGCTCCCACAACTTCCGAAGGCAACTTCTGTTCCATTGGTTGATTGTTCTCGCTGTCAGAAAGTTCCTCCTCATTTCTAGGTTGAATCTCTCCTCGGTCAGTTTCCATCCATTATTCCTTGTCTGGCCTTCAGGTGCTTCAGAAAACAGCTTGACCCCCTCCTCTCTGTGGCAGCCCCTCAAGTATTGAAAGACTATCATGTCTCCCCTGGTCCTTCTCTTCACTAGACTAGCCATGCCCAGTTCCTGCAACTGTTCTTCGTGTTTTAACCTCCAATCCCCTAATCGTCCTGGTTGCTCTCCTCTGCATTTTGTCTCAACATCTTTTTTATAGCATGGTGACCAAAAATGGATGCAGTACTCTAGGTGTGGTCTTACTAGGGTTACTAGTAATACCACTTACTAGTGGTATTAGTACCTCACTTGATCTTTATTGTATCCCTCTGTTAATGCAATTTAAGACTGCATTGGCTTTTTTAGCTGCTGCTGCACACTGCTGGCTCATATTTAGCTGATTGTCCACTGAGACTCTAAGATTCCTCTCACAGTCACTGCTATTAAGCCTGGTTTCCCCCAGTTTATATGTGTGCTTTTGTTTTTTCTTACCCAAGTGTAGGACTTTACTCTCCTGTGTGAGTCTTCTGGTATATCACCAGGTGGCAATTCTGATGATTTTCCCCCCCAGAAACTGGACATCCATATGTTTTCTCTCCTGTGTATGTTGTCTGGTGTATTACCAAATTGGAATTCTGACTGAAACTTTTCCCACAAACAGGAGATTCGTACGGTTTCTCTTCTGTGTGAGTCCTCTGGTGTATCACCAGTTCAAAATTGCAACTGAAACTCTTCCCACAAACTGGACACTTATAAGGTTTCTCTCCTGTGTGAATCTGAAACTGAAATGGAAATTCTAAATTTATAATGAGAAAGGAAGGGAAGCTGAGGAAGACATCATTGAGATGCAGAATGCACAAGAGAGAGATTACGTTAATAATTGTAGTGTGTTAAAAACCCACTGTATGTGTGGAGTCATCATTGAGGAAGAGTTGGGAAATGAGCTTTACATTACCTTTTTATTATTAAATTCATTTATTATTAAAACTTAATTGTTACCCATCTCACAGTTAGAAGTAACTCTCAGTGTCTTGCTTTGCCCTAATGTTCATAACAACCCTGGCAATTCGAATTTTTTACATGTCAAATACTTCTGATCATTCTAACGTAATGCATTTTTTTTAAAAAAGGAACATTTTCTACTGTACATTTGTTTCTCATCTTAAGGTAACAAAACAAAGAAGTTTGTCCCTCTTCTGTGTGACAGTGTACAATATGCAACCATAATTGTAAGGTTATGTATTATGTATAACACATAATAGTTGTGTGTTAAGGACTGCTTTTATGCTGGTTGGGGAATTCTGGGGCTTAAAATCTGAGCGAAACCAAGGTAGAAGATTGAAACTCCACATGTGGGAATTACATAATCAACATACAAAAGCACCATCCAAAATTCCTTTTTGAGGAATTCCATTACTTCTGCAAAAAGAAATATCCAGAAGTTTCTGCTGATAACCAGAAAATGGCACTTAGCCATTTTCCACTTTCCCTTTCTCTCCACCTACAAATTTAATCCTGAGAAACGTTTGAGTAAAAAGAATCAGGCCAGAATTCAAACAGTCAGTTTCGCACCTACACTTTATGAATGGGAGATCACAAATGAAATTCAAGACTTCAACTGTTGCCTCATGTGGATTTCCTTGTGCACAATAAGGGATGATTTATGCTTGAAGTAATGTCCACAGACTGGATATTTGAAAGGTTTCTCCACGGTGTGAGTCCTCTGGTGTCTTACCAGGTAGGAATCCCGACTGTAACTTTTCCCACAGTCAGGACATTGAAAATGTTTCTCTCCTGTGTGAGTCATTGTATTACGAGGTAGGAATTGTCACTGAAACTTTTCCCACAATCAGTTTCTCTCCTGTGCGAGTCCTCTTGTGTGTCTATACGCTGGAACGGTGACTGAAACTTTTACCACAAGCAGGACATTCAAAGGGTTTCTCGCCTTATAAATCCTCTGGTGACTTGTAAGCTCGAATTTTGTAATGAAACCTTTCCCACAATCTGGACACTTATATGATTTCTCTCCTGTGTGAGTCCTCTGGAGACCCAGCAGGTAGGCTTTGTGTGTGAAACTTTTCACACAATCAGGACATTCAAAGGGTTTCTCTCCTGTGTGAATGCTCTGATGGTTCACAAGGCTGGCATTCTGACGGAAACTTTTCCCACAAACTGGACACTCATACGGTCTCTCTCCTGTGTGATTTCTGTGGTGTAATACCAGTTCATAATTCTGATGGAAACTTTTCCCACAAAGAGCACATTCAAAGGGTTTGTCTCCTGTGTGTTTCCTCTGGTGACTCATGAGGTGAAATTTTGTAAAGAATAGAATAGAATAGAATAGAATAGAATAGAATAGAATAGAATAGAATAGAATAGAATAGAATAGAATAGAATAGAATTTTTTATTGGCCAAGTATGATTAGACACACAAGGAATTTGTCTTGGTACATATGCTCTCAGTGTACATAAAATAAAAGATATGTTCATCAAGAATCATAAGGTACAACATTTAATGATAGTCATAGGGTACAAATAAGCAGTCAGGAAACAATATCAATATAAATCGTAAGGATACAAGCAACAAAATTATAGTCATACAGTCATAAGTGGAAGGAGATGGGTAATGGGAACGATGAGAAGATTAATAGTAGTGCAGATTTAGTAAATAGATTGACAGTGTTAAGGGAATTATTTGTTTAGCAGAGTGATGACATTCGGGGAAAAAACTGTTCTTGTGTCTAGTTGTGTGTAGTGCTCTATAGCATCATTTTGAGGGTTGGAGTTGAAACAGTTTACATCCAGGATGTGAGGGGTCTGTAAATATTTTCACAGCCCTCTTTTTGATTCATGCAGTATACAGGTCCTCAATGGAAGGCAGGTTGGTAGTAATTGTTTTTTCTGCAGTTCTAATTATCCTCTGAAGTCTGTGTCTGTCTTGTTGGGTTGCAGAACCAAACCAGACAGTTATAGAGGTGCAGATGACACTCAGTAATTTCTCTGTAGAACTGTAGCAGCAGCTCCTTGGGCAGTTTGAGCTTTCTGAGTTGGTAGTAAGGTAGTAACAGAGTAGTTTGTCCCTTTCCTGAAGGTCAATGACCCAGCAACAGCCCTTATTTTGGCCCACACGCAGGTTGCAAAACGGCAGTTGCTTCCACAAATCCACTGCATGGCCCAGGGATGAGTTCCAGGCTGCTCCCACAACACAATCATGTGGCCCAGGAATGCATGCCCTTCTCCTCTTTCCCCAAAATGAGGTTCAGTGATCTTCACAAGGTAAGGAAGAGGAGGCTGTGAGGCCTGCTGGGGTGTGAGTCAGGTCTAAGGACTGCAGTGACCCAGTGGGAGTGGGAAAAAGCCTGTGGGGACCCTGTGGAATAGGGAAAGGACTGGGGCGATCAAAGGGTTGAGGTAGAGGAGGACTTTGGAATGCAAGCCTGGGTCTGGGCTATGCCTCCAACCCTGAGGTAGCCAGTGTTCCACTTAATAACTCACACATTACTTGAACAGCTTTATCAGCTTTATTATTCTACACTTCTGCAAAAGGAAATATCCAGAAAGTTCTACTGATCACCAGAAACAGATAGTTAGCCATTATCAAGGCTGTGTGTCCTCTGGTGTGCCGCCAGGTTGGAATTATTACTGAACCTTTTCCCACACTCTGGACACTCATATGGTTTCTCTCCTGTGTGAATCCTCTGGTGTGTCACAAGGTTGGAATTGTGACTGAAACTTTTCCCACAATCTGGACACTTATATGGTTTGTCTCCTGTATGAGTCCTCTGGTGTGTTTTCAGATTGTAAATATAACTGAAACATTTCTTACATTCTGGACATTCATACGGCTTTTCTCCTGTGTGAGTCCTATGGTGTGTCACAAGGCTGGAAATCTGACTGAAACTTTCCCCACACTCTGGACACTTATACGGTTTCTCTCCTGTATGAGTCCTCTGGTGTGTCACAAGGTGGGAATTCTGACTGAAACATTTCCCACAGTCTGCACACTTATACGGTTTGTCTCCTGTATGAGTCCTCTGATGTTTCACACAGTTGGAATTATGACTGAAACATTTTCCACAATCTGGACACTCACATGGTTTGTCTCCTGTGTGAGTCCTCTCGTGTCTCACAAGATTGGAATTCTGACTGAAACATTTACCACACTCTGGACACTCATATGGTTTGTCTCCTGTGTGAGTCCTCTGGTGTGTTTTCAGATTGCAAATATAACTGAAACATTTCTCACATTCTGGACATTCATACGGTTTTTCTCCTGTGTGAGTCCTCTGGTGTGTCACGAGGCTGGAAATCTGACTGAAACTTTTCTCAGACAGGACATTGATAGGGTTTCTCTCTGGTGTGAGTTCTCTGGTGGCTAATGAGCTGGACATTTCTGATGACACTTTTCCCTCAAACTGAGCTCGTACAATTTCTCACTGGTGTGAGTCCTCTGATGTTGCTATGTTTGTGTCCTTCGCTAAACCACAATTTGTCACATTTTACCCCCCTTTTTCTAGATTGAATCTCCTCTTAATTTTCTCTCCTTTGTCTCTCAACTGCTGGGAAAGGAGAAGAATTTTGTGGTTTTCTGAAGGAAATGGAAAATATTTTGATTTCCATCTGGCTTTACTTTCTTTTCCAATGTTGCTTGTTATTCTCAGTTTTCTAGAGTGCTCTTATTGACAACTTCTTTGTCTGTAAGATTCAAAGAAAAATGTAACTTTAATTGTTTATAAAATGGTTCCAGAAGATGTGAAAAAAAGAAAAAAGTATACATTGCAATAAACAAAAATGCCACAAAAAGAATAACCTCTTACATTAGTTATGATTCATTTGACACATTTGTGTCCAAGTTCAACTATCCATTCAGTCATGAAATTCTCTTTTTCACTTTGATGATTCACAAATTCTTAGCAGTGCAAAGGCTTATCATCAAATATATCTGGAAATGCTGAGGAAAGATTGTACAGTTGTAAATATATGCACACACAGAGAAATACAAATACATATACCTATAACTGAATGTATATGGAAAATCTATGTGTTTTTAGCCTGAAAATTATCCCAAAATGGTTATAGTCAAACCTTCTGAGCTAACTTTAGAGGTGTGGGTTTTTACCTGATGAAATGATACCTAAACCCTCTGCAAGATTTGAAGCACCAGTTTTGCTCATGAAAGTCCTCAGCTGCAAGTAAGAGTAGAAAATGCTGTCTACAACCCCTTCTGGTGACATCCCAATTCAAACAATCCTGACTTACTGAGTGCAATTGTGACTGGCATCTGTGTCAGTAAGCAGCCCAATGGTTAAGCATGATGTTATATGACAATGACAATTTACATACCATGCTTGTTGGTTTTACAGAAAGGGAATGCCATGAAAGCGAAGGTGGAAAGACACAGAGAAATGCTGTGCCTTAAACAGACAGAATTTGGAGAAAAATTGAAAATTGGAAAAGGAAGATGGTAATGGAATAACTAGAGGAAGCAGGACTGGGTGAACAGAATATAAAGAAAAACTCTCCACAGGGCATTTTATTCCAACAACTGAAGCCACTTTGGAGCTCAACCAACCTGCCTCTTGTGCACACCAGTCTCTCTTCCCCAAAATGCTCTGCAGGCATTTTGGCCAAGACATCCCAGGCCTGTCACTTAACCTGAAATGTTCTTATCTTTCTAAATACAGTGCATTCAGAAAGTATTCAGACTCCCTTTACTTTTGTCAATTTTCTCATGCTGCAGCTTGATTCTACAGCTGTTGAACTTCATTTTTCATAGGCAGCAACTTTAAATCCTGGAGAAAAAGGATAATAAAAACATTTGGGGGAGAGAAAGAATCTGCAGCAGGAGCAGCCCTCATGTTTCATTCCTGTCCCTTCGCTGCTTCCAGGCCCTGCAGGAACCCAAAAGGCTTCTCCTCCGACCTTCCCTCCACTCACCTCCCAGGAGCCGCTTCCGCCCTCCGAGCAGCACAAGAGGCTCCGCCGACGCCTCCATCCTCCTCCCGTGGGTGAACCGGAAGAGGAACTTCTTCTCTCCTCCTCCTCTCTAGCAATCTAATAATCTATCGTTCCCATTCGTTCGAGCTCGGCCTTTCTCCTTCCGGTGTCATGTGAATACTAGCGATGCCGCTCCTGTACTCTATTCACTGCTTTCTAAGGCGCGAGTGTTGCTTCTTTGTAGAGCGCCATCTAGCGACATAACGTTGAAAGTTTGCAAGAGGCTTTCATAGATTCCGTCCTTCCTTCAGTGCCATCAAGTTTTAGTCGACTCCCACGGAGCACAGGAATAGCTTTCGTCCATGACAATCTATGCCAGTGATGGCTAACCTTTTTGCCGTCGTGTGCCAAAAGCGGGGGGAGCACGGGGGAGTTGCTTCCCCCCTGCACATGTGTGTGACCCCCCCACCCCGCGCTCCCCCCGCTTTTGGCACGTAATGGCACGATGGGCCTGGTTGGCCCATTTTTCGCCCTCCCCAGGCTCCAGAGGCTTTCTTGGAGCCTGGGGAGGGCCAAAAGGGGTTCCCCACCCCCACAGAAGCCCTTCAGAGGCCAGAAACGGCCCGACTTCCAGTGGGCCCGGAAAGCCCGTTTTCGCCGTCCCCAGACTCCAGAGGCTTTCTAGGAGCCTGGGGAGGGCGAAAATGCTCCCCCCCCCCGGGAGGCCCTCAGGAGGCCGGAAACAACTTGTTTCCTGACTTCTGGGTGGGCCCGGAAGGGCGGAAAATCAGGTGGCCAGCGCATGTATGTGTGCTGGAGCTGAGCTAGGGCAACGCTCGTGTGCCCAGATATGGCTCCACGTGCCACCTGTTGCACACGTGCCATAGGTTTGCCATCACGGATCTATGCTATACCTTTTCTTTCATGTCTCCCAAGAGGGCACATTCATTTCCCTCTTCCATCGCCCCCCCCTCTCTCTGTGTCTCTCTCTCCCTCCCCATCTCCCCCTCTCTCGGTATCTCTTTGTGTCTGTCTGTCTGTTTGTGTGTGTCTGCCCCCCTCCCCACTTCTCCCCTTCCTGCTCTCTCTGTCTGGAACAGGAGGGTGGGAAGGGAGAAAGAAAGAGGGAGGGAGGGAAGGGAGAAAGAGGAAAGGGAAAGTGAATGAGATATGAAAGGAGGGAGAGAAAAAGGAGAGGAAGGATCACAAACCCTGGCCATTCCTTCTGGAAAGTGCCTGAATGGGAAGGGAAGGGGTTCCTTTCGTGTGAATAAACAAGCAAAAGGCTTATTTTAATGGGCCTTTTGGATTTCTGTGTAAATGAGCCATTCCACTTGTTCCTCATGTTATTTCTCCTTTAAAGCAATGTTTTGCAGCAGTAAAGTTCCTAAATTACAAACAGAATCCTGAGGGCAGGGAACTACTCCCAAAGCTTTTCTCTGTGACACTCCAAGCTATAAACAGAAGGGAGAGGCTTCAAGGCAGAGTCAATTAGCAACCAAACAGAGGTGCCAACAGTTACAGAGATGAAAATAAGTAACAAAGCCCGGCTGGAGGATTTTGGCATTGCTCTGCGGCACCCCAGTCGCCCCTTCCCCTTATTGGCTTTAGCGAAGGGGTTAAGGGCAGACAGTTTTTGCGCCTAGAGAGGAGGCAGGAAAGGGGGAAAAGTTGGGTGGGAGCCAATCTACGACCCCTCCTTGCCCCCCTTCCTGGTCTCCCGACGCTTCTTAAGGCAGAACTGCAGGGATCCCCTCTCGGGGAGGGGCGTGAACCCTGCCAGGAGGAGCCCAGTGGCATCTCAAGGTGGGTGACGGAGACCAGAGAGCCGGCCTGGTGGTCTTCCTTTGAGATGCAGCACCTGAATCTGCTTCTCTTACCTGCCCAGATTCCCTTTTTGGTGACTGCTGCATCCCCGTTTCTCTCTGCCCATGTAAGAGAACAGCCCTGTCTGCGGACGTTTTCAATTTAGATTTCAGTTCTTTCAGGGATCCTATATCTATCCTGAAAAAGAAGCTCTCTGCTGTTTTGTACAAAGAGATCAAAAGGCTTCTGTGATATATTTAGAAAGATAAAAAAGATTCTCAGGTCAAAGGACAGGCCTGGGAGCTCTAATAACTGCCTGCAGAGCATTTTTGGGAAGTGAGACTGGTGTGCACAAGAGGCAGGTTGGTTGAGCTCCAAAGAGGCTTCAGTTGTTGGAATAAAATGCAGTTTGGACAGTTTTTGTTTATATTCTGCTGAGCGAATGCTGCTTCATCTATTTATTCCGTTACAATCTTCCCTTTCCAATTTGCAGTTTTTCTCCAAATGTCATGACTATATAAGGCACAGAATTTCTGAGTCTCTCCACTTTCACTTTCATAGCTTCTCCTTTCTCTAAAGATTTCTGAAATTATTTTAATATAATGTAAACCTTGGAGCACTTCAGAACTTATTAACTTCATACCTAATTATAGTATTATGATTGGGCTTTTTAAAGGGGAGGGGAGAGGTCCATTTTCCCCAAGTGCTTTGAAAGGATAAATCACTGTCTAGATCAGGGATCCCCAACCCTGACACTAAATGAAGTGGTGTAAATCAAAGAGTACCTGTACATAATTGGATATGATAGGATGGATGGCCTCTCCCAGGGATTTCATGTACAGTAGATGTTAAACCACGTTGCTTACTAAGGGTAATCCAGGCAGTTCCAGCTGCAAGAATGCAGAGACAAAAATAATATCTCCTATCTAGATGGATTTGGAACCAGTGGGATGAGGCAGACAATTGTTTAAGGCTGCACATACGAACAAGACCTTTATCAACTTTTATGATGCAGCACCTGTCTAATCTTGCGAAGCTAAGTAGGGGAAAGCATCACTCCTTGAGCTTCCCTCAGTCGCAGTTGAGGAGTTATCCTGCACCCCAAGAGAAAGAGCTGGATGGAATAGTCTTCACGGATCCTCAAGGGAGGTGCACTTTGTCTCTGCCTGATGGCACATTGTGTTCTCTCCACGGATGATTTCCTTGGTTCAGTTCCTGCAAAAGAAGCTCCTGGCTGAGTTGGAGTGACAATGAGGGCATCCCTACCAGACCCCAAAGGACAGAAGGGCTTGACTCAAGAGCCTTCCATTCAACAGCTTCACTGTTACAGCTTCAAACATTTGCCAAGGCAGCTTTCCAAGACTTACCCTGCACACCCCCAGATCAGTGGTGGGTTTCAACATTTTTTACTACTGGTTCTGTGGGCGTGGCTTGGTGGACATGGTAGGGGAAGGTTACTGCAAAATCCCCATTTCCTCCCGATCAGCTGGGACTTGGGAGACAGAGAATAGATGGGGGCGGGGCCAGTCAGCATTTTTACTACAGGTTCTCTGAACTACTCAAAATTTCCGCTACCGGTTCTCCAGAACTGGTCAGAACCTGCTGAAACCCACCTCTGCCCCAGATGTAAAACTGGCTGGAATAATCTTCGCCAGCCCCCAATGGAGGTGCACTTTCAGGTAGCATATTATAGTCATTCCCCTCCCTAGGACACTTTCCTTTAGTTTAATTGGAGCAAGAGGGAAAATGAGTGTGCCCTCTTGGGAGACCTGAAAGAAAAGGTATAGCATAGATCTGTGAAGGTGAACCTATGGCACGCAGAGCCATATATGTGGGCACGTGAGCATTGCCCTAGCTTAGCTCCAGCGCGCATGTGATTTCCAGGCCTTCTGGGCCCACCGGAAGTCAGGAAACGGGCTGTTTCCGGCCTCCGGAGGGTCTCCGTGGGGTGGGGAAGGCCATTTTCACCCTCCCCAGGCTCCTAGAAAGCCTCTGGAGCCTGGGGAGGGTGAAAAACGGTCCTTCCGATCCCACTGGAAGTCGGGAAACAGGCCATTTCTGGCCTCCGGAGGGCCTCCAGCGGGGTGGAGAAGGCCGTTTTCACATTCCCCAGGCTCCAAGAAAGCCTCTGGAGTCTGGGAAGGGTGAAAAACGGGCCTACTGGGCCCACCGGGCCATCGTATGCCAAAAGTGTGGGGAGCGTGGGGGGCTGGCGTGCGCATGCGCATTGAATTATGGGTGTGGGAATGTGCGAGACCCTCCGCTCCCTCCGCCTGAAAGAAAAGGTACAGATTGTCATGGACGAAAGCTATTCCTGTGCTCGGTGGGAGTCGAATACGACTTGATGGCACCGAAGGAAGGAGGGAATCCATGAAAGCCTCTTTCTTGCAAACACTTCATAGGACGAGGGTGATTTTCAACCTTATGACGCTAGATGGCAGTCTACAAAGAAGCAACCCTCCCGCCTCGAAAGCAGAGAACAGCAGTGACATCGCTAGTATTGACATTACACCGGAGGGAGAGAGGCCGAGCTGGAACAAATTGGAACGATAGAGTATTAGATTGCTAGAGAGGATGTAGAGGACAGAGGACGTTCCTCTTCCGGGTCACCCACGGGAGGAGGACGGAGGCGTCGGCGGAGCCTCTTGTGCTGCTCGGAGGGCGGAAGCGGCTCCTGGGAGGTGAGTGGAGGGAAGGTCGGAGGAGAAGCCTTTTGGGTTCCTGCAGGGCCTGGAAGCAGCGAAGGGACAGGAATGAAACATGAGGGCTGCTCCTGCTGCTGCTGCATATTCTATATTCTTTCTCTCCCCAGATGCATTTATCCAGGATTTAAAGTTGCTGCCTGTGATTTTCTGCTGGCAGATTTGGGAGATTTAAAGAAATCTTGATACAGTTTTCATATTTCTCAACCACCCGCCTCCCTCACCCTCCACCTAACACTTGGATCCTTGTGGTTTTATTGACATGTCGTTTTCCTGGCAAGCGAGGAGTTTCATGGGCAAAAGGGATTTTTTCACCCTTTCCTCTCTCAATGACCCCACCTTTTAAAAAACAGATTAAAACATTTGAGCGAATTCCCTCCTGAGTCCTTTTGCAGACTGAAATACACATAATTGTTCACATGAATAAATTCTTAGGAGTGTATTTCTGTGTCAATAGGAACCCACGTTCAGTGGGTATTCAGACCCCTTTCACTTCTGTCAATTTTGTTATGCAGCAGCCTGATTTTACTCTTGTTGAAATTCATTTTTTCTCATTCATCTAATGACAAAATGAAAACAGAATTTTAGAAATGCCTGTAAATTTATTAAAAACAAAACAAAAAAACAAAAACACCCTGAAATATCACATTGACATAAGTATTCAGATCCTTCACTCAGTACAAACACAAAGATGCTTTGGCAGCGATTACAGCCTCAAGTCTTTTTGGGTGTGCGGCTATAAACTATGCAAATCTGGATTGGGGGGATTTTTCTGCCATTCTTTCTTGCAAGTCCTTTCAAGCTCAGTCAGTTTGGATGGCAACCATTGATGGAGAGCCATTTTTAGGTGCCTCCAGAGATATTCTCTTTTTATATATATAAAAAGTTTTTTGTTTTTTTCTTAAGACAAACAAACATATAATACATTGGTTCTTCCGTGTGTCATCTCGGTGTTTCTTTAGCGATTTCTTCTTTTTGTTACTACTCCTCTTATTTCTTTCTTATTCCATTTCTCTATTTCAATATTTTCCCCAAAGTACATATATTTAATGTAACTTTCTCCTGTTTCCTTATCAAATTCTTTATATCTCTATTCTATCCAATCATAAAATTTCCCCCATATCTTAAAATATTCTGTATCCTCTTTCTCTTTAATCATTAAAGTTAATCTATTCATCTCTGCGCAGTCCAAATTTTTTCTAATTACTTGCCCGTCTAAAGGGATTTTCTCTGCTTTCCATCTTTGTGCAAATACTATTTTTGCTGCAGTTATTATATGTATAATCAAATACAAATTTTCTTTACTAATTTTCTCTGGTAGGATACCCAATAGGAACAACTCAGGTTTTAAATCAATATGTTGTTGAGTCATTTCTTCTATCCATGTCTTAATTCTGTTCCAATAATCTCTAGCTTCTGGGCAAGTCCACTGCATATGATAATAAGATCCTGGTATTTGGTGGCATTTCCAACATTTAGCTGATTTATCTTTAAACATTTTTGCCAATTTTTCAGGAGGCATATGCCATCTGTAAAACATTTTATATTGATTCTCTTTATGTGCAGTCTACATTGTTAGTTTATAGTTCCTTTCCCATAGCTGTTGCCATCTATCAAGCTCAGTTGAATATCCACAATTTTTTGCCCATGCAATCATTGCTTCTTTTGCTTGCTCTTCTTCTAATTCAATACTAAGCAAAAAGTTATAATTTTTAAAAATTATTTTGTCCTCTGTTCCCATGAGTATCCTATCCAGATCTGTCATTTCTAAATAGAAACCATATAATTTTGCATCTTTTTCATATCTTGCTTGTATTTCCATATACATATAACAGTCCATCACAATCCCTTGTTCTATCAATTCTTGTTTCCCTTTCAATTCCTCCTTATCTGTAAGTAAATCTTTATATCTAAAAATATTTTTTAAATTAACCATATTTGGGTGTATTAGTGCTTCCATAATTGATAGCCATATTGGAATTTTCACATATTTATCACTGATCTTCTCCCATACTAATAACAATGCATTTCTTACAGTGTCTATGAAAATACGTATGTATCCTACTTCTACCATACCATAAAAAAGCATGCCAACCCAATTGTAAATCATGTCCTTCCAAAGTTAATAGTCTTTTATTTCTTAATTCTATCCATTCTTTCATCCAAGTCAGAGTTGCTACCTTGTAATATAATCCTCAATTCAGCAGTCCAAATCCTCCCCTTATTCTTACATCTTGTAGCATCTTTATATTAATTCTTGCCTTTTTCCCCTGCCATATAAACTTCCTCATTATTTTATTAAGGTGTTGAAAATAGGTCTTTTCAATTCTTATTAGAATTGTTTGGAATAAAAACAATAGTCTCGGTAATATATTCATCTTGATTCTTGCAATCTTTCCCATAAGTGATAATTGCAAAGTTTTCCATTTTTCCAGATCTTTCTCAATTTGTCTTTTTATGTTGTAATAATTATCCTCTTTTATCATTGCACATCTTGAAGTTAGTTGTATTCCTAGATATCTCACTTTTTTCACAATTTGTATGTCTAATTTCTCCTTTAATTCTTCTTTTTGTTTTTCTGTAGTATTTTTCACCAATATTTTTGTTTTTTGTTTTTTATTCTTAAGCCTGCCACCTCACCATATTCCTCTATTTGCTCTAATAATTTCGGTCCTGTCTTTTGAGGTTCCTCAAGAATAAATACTAAATCATCTGCAAAAGCTTGTAATTTGTCTTCCTCTTTTTTGATTTTCATCCCTTTTATTTGTTCATTCCTTGTTATATTTCTATTTAACACTTCTAAAGTCAATACAAATAGCAATGGGGATAATGGGCATCCTTGTCTTGTTCCTTTTGTTATATTAACTTTTTCTGTCATCTCTCCATTCATCATTATCTTGGCTGATTGTTTATTATATATTGTTTTTATAATGTTCATAAATCTTTCTCCTAAGTCCATTATCTGTAATTGCTTTATCATAAACTGCCAGTTCACGTTGTCAAAAGCTTTCTGTGCATCTAGGAATATCATCGCCATTTGTTTTTCTGAATGTATTTCATAATACTCCAAAGTACAGTATTCAAAATTATCCTCATACTGTCTCTAATTTGCCTTTTAGGTAAAAACCCATTTTGCTCCATATGAATAAACTCATTTAATAGTTTTTTTCAATCTGTTTGCCATTATTGAAGCAAAAATCTTGTAATCCACATTTAATAATGAAATCGGCCTATAATTTTTTTATTAATTGCAGATCTGAATCTTCTTTAGGTATGAGTGTAACATAGGCCTCTATCCACGAGTCTGGCATTTTAGCTTTCAATAAAAGTTCATTAAATAGTTTCAGCATTACATTTCTTAACATCTTGAAATGTCTTATATAGACATATAGTCTTATAGTTCCGCTGGAAGTCCATTAGGTCCTGGTGCTTTCCCATTTTTTTGTTTTTGCCTCCAGAGGTATTCAATAAAGTCCAAGTCAAAGCTCTGGCTAGGCAGTTCCTTTGACCTCATGGCTATTGTTCTGCTACAGTATGCATTGTCAGCTATGAGGCCTTCTATGTGATATTTCAGTTTTTTTCCTTTTACTAAATTTACAGACATTTCTACTTTCTCATTATGGGGTACTCTATGTAGATTAAGGAAGGGAAAAATGAAGTTCAACAGAACTTTGTTAAGCTGCCGCATAACAAAATTGACAAAAGTAAAGGGAGTCTGAATACTTTCTGAATGCACTGTATTTACAAAGATAAGAACATTTCAGGTTAAGTGACAGGCCTGGGATGTCTTGGCCAAAATGCTCTGCAGGCATTTTGGGGAAGAGAGACTGGTGTGCACAAGAGGCAGGTTGGTTGAGCTCCAAAGTGGCTTCTGTTGTTGGAATAAAATGCCCTGTGGAGAGTTTATCTTTATATTCTGTTAACCCAGCTTCCTCTGGTTCCTGCTTCCTCTGGTTATTCCATTACCATCTTCCCTTTCCAGTTTTCAGTTTTTCTCCAAATTCTGTCTGTTTAAGGCACAGAATTTCTCTGTGTCTTTCCACCTTCGCTTTCATGGCATTCCCTTTCTGTAAAACCAACAAGCATGATATGTAAGTTGGCATTGTCATATGACATCATGCTTAACAATTGGGCTCCTTACTGACACAGTTGTCAGTCCCAATTGCAGTCAGTAAGTGAGCACTACTTGAATTAGGATGTCACCAGAGTGGTTGTGGAAAATATTTCCTGTCCTTACTTGGAGCTGAGGAGTTCCATGGGCAAAACTACTACATGAAATCTTGCAGAGGGTTTAGGTATCATTTCATCAGGTAAAAACCCACACCTCTAAAGTTAGCTCAGCAAATTCGACTGTAACCATTTTAGAATAATTTTCAGGCTAAAAACACATGGATTGTCCATATACATTCAGTTATAGGTGTGTGCATTTGTATTTCTCTCTGTGTGCATATATTTACAACTGTACAATCTTTCCCCAGTATTTCCAGATAAATTTGATGATACGTTTTTGCACTGCTAAGAATTTGTGAATCACCAAAGTGAAAAAGAATTTCATGATTGAATGGATATTTGAACTTGGACACAAATGTGTCATATGAATCATAATGTCAGGTTTCGAGGTCAGCTGCATTTACTCTAGTGCTGACACATAACTAATGTAAGAGGTTATTCTTTATTCTGGCATATTTGCTTATTCATTGTAAACGTTTTTCTTTTTTTTCACATCTTCTGCAACCATTTTATAAACAATTAAAGTTACATTTTTCTTTGAATCTTTCAGACAAAGATGTCAATAAGAGCACTTTGGAAAACTGAGAATAATAAGCAACATTGGAAAAGAAAGCGAAGCCACACGGAAATCAAAATATTTTCCATTTCCTTCAGAAAACCACAAATTTCTTCTCCTTTCCCAGCAGTTGAGAGACAAAGGAAAGAAAATTAAGAGGAGATTTCAAGCTAGAAAAAAGCTAGAAAAGATTTCAAGCTGGGAAACTCAAGAATACATTACATGAAAGATCAAGGGAGATTATATTTCATTCAGAAAAAGAGGGGTATCTCTGGAAATGAGTGGGGAGAAAAAGGTCTATAGGACAGCCACACAGGGCTGACAGTGATGCAGGCCTGGCCCTGTGAGGAGGAAAACAGCTGGAATTAAAGCACCAGTAAACAAATGATCACACATATATTTGACCCCAAGAATATCAGTGTTGGAAAAGCTCCTATTGCGGGAAAAGTACAGATTGTAAATCACAACTGATTATGCACGAGAGGATCCAAATTGTAGAAAAGCCAATGGTTTAGTCTGAACAGCTCTCTTGTGGTTCATCAAAGAACACATACAGGACAGATGGCCTGCAAGTGCTTTCAGTGTAGTAAATACTTTAGCAAGCACAGCAACATCAGAGGACTCACAACAGGGAGAAACTATAAGTGCCTAGTTTGAGGGAAAAATTTCATTAGTAGAAATTCCCACCTCATGAGACACCTGAAGAGTCATCCCGGGGACAAACTCTTTGAATGTCCTGACTGTGGGAAAATTTTCAGTCACAATTCCACCCTGGTAATACACCGGAAGACTCACATGGGAGAGACACCCTTTCCATGTCCTGACTGTGGGAAAAGTTTCAGTCAGAATTCCCACCTGGTGGTACACCAGAGGACTCACAAAGGAGAGAAACCATATGAGTGTCCTGAGTGTGGGAAAAGGTTCAGTAATAATGCCAGCCTTGTGACACATCAGAGGACTCACACAGGAGAAAAACCATATGAATGTTCAGAATGTGGGAAATGTTTCAGTAAGAATTCCAACCTGGTGTCACACCAGATGACTCACACAGGAGAGAAACCCTTTACATGTCCTGACTGTGGGAAACATTTCAGTAGAAATTCCCACCTGGTGACACACCAGAGGACTCATACCCTGGAGAAACCATATGAATGTCCTGTGTGTGGAAAAAGTTTCAGATGGAATTCCAACCTGGTATCACATCAAACGACTCACACGGGAGAGAAACCATATGAGTGTCGAGAGTGTGGGAAATGTTTCAGTAATAATTCCGACCAGGTGACACACCAGAGGACTCACACAGGAGAGAAACCGTATGAATGTCCTGAGTGTGGGAAAAGTTTCAGTCATATTTCCAGTCTGATAAGACACCAGAGGATTCACACGGGAGAAAAACCATATGAATGTTCAGAATGTGGGAAATGTTTCAGTAATAATTCCGACCAGGTGACACACCAGAGGACTCACACAGGAGAGAAACCATATGTGTGTCCAGAGTGTGGGAAAAGTTTCAGTCAGAATTCCAACCTGGTGACACACCAGAGGTCTCACACAGGAGGGAAACAGAATGAGTGTCCAAAGTGTGGGAAAAGTTTCAGTCATATTTCCAGTCTGATAAGGCACCAGAGGATTCACACAGGAGAAAAACCGTATGAATGTCCTCAGTGTGGGAAAAGTTTCAGTCACATTTCCAGTCTGAAAAGACACCAGAGGACTCACACAGAGGACAAACTGTATGATTATCCAGATTGTGGCAAAAGTTTCAGTCAGAATTCTGGCCTAATTACACACCAGAGGACTCATTCCGAGGACAAATTGTATGAATGTTGAGAGTGTAAGAAAAGTTTCAGTCATAATTCCAGCCTTGTGAAACACCAGAGGACTCACACAGGAGAGAAACATAGAACATAGAGGTGAAGGGAGACATAAGAAAATTGGATGACAAAATGGAAAAGATTCAGGAATCAATAGCAAACAATGAACAAAAAATAAATGTAATAGAGACTAACGTAGAGAGAACCGAAAAGAAACTAGAAGCTGCAGAAGAGAGATGGGAAATGGAGAAAAAGGAATTGGAGGAGACAGTGACCCGTCTTGAGCTAGAGAGATCCTCTTATTACTTAAGATTTCAAAATGTGGTAGAAAACAGAGAAGAGGATCTATATAAAGTCATAGTGGAATTGCTAGCAGAACCCCTATATATAGATAGACAGGAATTAGGGAACAGTATTGATGAGGCTTACTGAATTTATACAAATTATGTGAAACAACATAGACTACCACGTGAAATTCATGTCAGATTCACAAAGAAATCAATTCGGGATGAAATTTATAGAAAGACAAGGGAAGACAATCTGCGGTTTAAAGGGAAGGAGATCATAATATTAAAACAATTACCCAAAAGAATTCGTGAGCAACAGAGGAATTATCAATTGCTCTCTGCTAAATTGACCAATCATAGAATCATGTTCCGATGGTTAATACCAGAGGGCATGTTAATATCCTGGGAAGACAAAAAAATAAGAATAGATTTGGTAGAAAAGGCGCAGGAATTCAGTGAACAAAACTTTGGAGAAGAATTAGAAAATAGAGAGGAATTAGAATCCAAAAGTCAAGAAGAAAATGAATCAAATCGAGGATCGGAAGAACAGTTAGAGACCGGAAACCAATACAGAGAGGGTGTAAGAACAAGACAGCAGAGGGGAGTAACACAAAAAAGGGAAGCAGGAAGGACAAATAAGTAATTTAATGAAGGAAGAGATGAATCTAATATCAATCAACATAAATGGATTGAATGCACCAATAAAACTAAAGCCTGTTATTAACATTCAGCTGTCTGCAATTACTGTAAGTTCGAATCTCACCAGGCTCAAGGTTGACTCAGCCTTCCATCCTTTCTAAGGTAGGTAAATTGAGGACCCAGTTTGTGGGGGCAATAAGCTGACTTTGTATAAAAAATACAAAAGTATGAAGGCTATTGCTTAACGCATTGTAAGCTGCCCTGAGTCTCCGGAGAAGGGCGACATATAAATCTAATTAAAAAAAAAAAACACCGAAGACAAACAATTACTAGACTCCAAAAATTGAACATGGAAATATTATGCCTACAAGAAGGAAGAAGGGCATACAAGGAATTTGTCTTGGTGCATATGCTCCAAAGAAAAAGAAAGAAAAGATACAGTCGTCAAGAATCATAAGGTACAACACTTAATGATAGTCATAGGGAACAAATAAGCAATTTAATCATATTGTCAATATAAATCTTAAGGATACCAGCAACAAGATTACAGTCATACAGTCATAAGTGGGAGGGGATGGATGATAGGAACAATGAGAAAATTAATAGTAATGCAGACTTAGTAACTAGTTTGACAGGGTTGAGGGAATTATTTAGCAGAGTGATGGCGTTCGGAAAAAAACCTGTTCTTGTGTCTAGTTGTTCTGGTGTGCAGTGCTCTATTGCGTCATTTTGAGGGTAGGAGTTTAATGGACTACTGTAACGCTCTCTACATGGGGCTCCCCTTGAAGAGCACTTGGAGGCTCCAACTGGTCCAGAATGCAGCCGCACGTGTGATTATGGGAGCGACACGGCGCTCCCATGTAACACCTCTCCTGTGCGAGCTGCACTGGCTCCCGGTGGTCTTCCGGGTGCGATTCAAGGTGTTGGTTACCATATTCAAAGCACTTAGGACCCGGATACTTATGAGATCGCCTTCTGCCACCGATGGCCTCCCACCGACCAACACGCTCCCACAGAGAGGGACTCCTCAGGGTGCCGTCGGTCAAACAATGTCGACCGGCGACACCCAGAGGGAGAGCCTTCTCTGTGGGGGCACCTGCCCTCTGGAATGAACTGCCCCCGGGAATATGTATGATTCCTGACCTACGTACCTTTCGCCGTGCCCTTAAGATCTTACTATTCCAACAGGCTGGGCTGGCTAAATAAGGAATTGGAATTGGGTGTTTTAATGTTTGAGTTTTTAATTTGGGGCCAAATTATTTAATTTGTTTTTAATTTGTTTTTAAATTTTGTATTGTATGTTGTTTTATTGTGGCTATACACCGCCTTGAGTCTTTCGGGAGAAGGGTGGTATAAAAATTTAAATAATAAATCAATAAAATAAATAATGTCCAGAGTGTGAGAAAAGTTTCAGTCAGAATTCCAGCCTCATGATACACCAGAGGACTCAAACAGGAGAGGGTTTCTCCTGGTATGTGTGTCCGGAGTATAGGAAATGTTTCAGTCAGAATTAAAGCCTGTGACACACCAGAGGACTCACAGCCTTGATAAAGGCTAACTATCTGTTTCTGGTGATTAGGAGAACTTTCTGGATATTTCCTTTTGCAGAAGTGTGGAGTTTCTCTAGAAGGCTTTTGGGTGGTGTTTTTTTATATTGATTATTGAATTTCCACAATTGGAGTTTCCATTTTCTACCTTGATGTCCTCCAGAGTCTGAGAGTCAGAATTTCCCAACCACCATACAAGTAGTTCTTGAGATATAAGAGTAATGGGTTGTAGGCATAGCCCAGACCCAGGCTTGCATTCCAAAGTCCTCCTCTACCTCAACCCAGTCCTTTCTCTTTTCCACAGGGTCCCTACTGGCTTCTTCCCCCGCAAGGTCTCCAAGGCTTTTTTCCACTCCCACTGGGTCCCTGCAGTCCTTAGACGTGACTCCCACTCCAGCAGGCCTCACAGCCTCCTCTTCCTTACCTTTTGAAGATCACTGAACCTCATTTTGGGGAAAGAGGAGAAGGGCATGCATTCCTGGACCACATGACTGTGTTATGGGAGCAGCCGTCATTGTGCCTGGAATTCATGGTGACAGCAGGGATCAAACATGTCATCAGTAATGAGTCCCTTCATTCTCACAAGAGATTTAAATCCAGCCCACCTTGAATTTCTTTGATTCTTATCTACTTCCAAATTGCTTTTTCCCCCAAATTTCAGCCAGCATATATATTTCTACACATTTATATTAAGTTGCAATCTGTCATTGTTCAGTAATTCCATGTTTTCTCTTATTGCTTTTATTTTATTATATAAAAGTGTATACACTGTTTCCCCTTTCTCTTATTTCTATCTCTTATTCTAACTTAATCATGTCACCCTATATTAAAAGACATTTTCTTTCTGTCCCACCTAGCTTCTAGTCGTGTCACCTACAAAAGAAAAGAGAGAGAAAAAGAAAAGCAAATCAGAACAACAAAAAAGAAAAATCATCTATCCATCGTCTCTTGCCCGCTTCAGTACTTTAATTGCTATGCTTTTTTTTGGGTTGCCTCCCATATTCCTCTCTTGGATCTTTATCACAGTCTGCATCTACTTCTTGGCAGTTCAATCTATGTTTTTCTCCCACCTCTACTCTCTTCCATTGCCTAGTTTTCAAAATTTCTACCCAGGCCCCTTTCTCCCTTTCAAAAGTATCTTCATGTTTCTCCAATTCTCTTCCCAACTCTCTTAATATATTTTCCCCTTGATTTAATTCATTGCTCACTGTTATTTTCATTGTAATCTCCTCCTTCTTTTCTTCTCTGGTTCTTCGGCACAATCATTTCTGTTGCAGTGGTTCTCAACCTGGGGGTCGCGACCCCTTTGAGGGTTGAACGGCCATTTCACACGGGCCGCCAAAGCCCTCTCTCACCCCCCCTCACGCCTTCACTCACCCTCACTCTCTGCCTCTGTTGGATCGCCGGCCATTCGCTTACCCCGCCCACTCCCAATCTATTGCTGCCTCATGAGTCCCAGCTGATGGCTAGAGGGAAAAAAACTGTTTAAATTCTTGCCGCAGGGCTTCAAAGGGCCACCCTACAGCTGATCAGTGTTAAAAGAAAACAAATGAGTAGACCGGTGCCTGCAAAAATAGAAAAAAACAGCCCCTTTCAGCTTCAGGATAGGTTAATTAGCACAAGTTGATTAGATCAGCCTCGGACTCTCAGCTGATTTGCTCTCAGCTGTTTTGCGCAGCGCTCTGTTGCTAGCTGCAAAAAAATCTCGAGCAGATTTTTCCCCCCGGCTATGCTGAAAAAACGAAACTGAAAGTAAAGCAGGGTCTTTGCTGCAAGGTGACAAAATGAGGCAGAGAGAGATTTCTTTTTCTTTTTCCTCACCAAAAAAAGGTAGGTGCAAAACTGCAAACAATGGGAAATTTAGGGCAAAAGAGGAGGTTCAAGATTTTAAAACACAAAAGAAAAAAAGCTCTATTTAACTAGGGAATTGTAATAATTGAGATACTATTAATTGTATATTGTGTTGAAAGCAGAAATGGTTAAGTTGTGGTTTGGAGGAATATATGGGGGAAATTATTTGGTTTATTATTGGTAAATATAATTAATTGATTTGTAAGAAATTGGATTGCATGGAAATAATTGGAATATTCATGTTCATATTGATTAATATACAAAAAAGATAGTTATATAACTAATTGATTTATATTAAAATGTTGAATTTGTATTAAACAACTGTATTACATAATTACATAATTAACCAATGTGAGGATGGATATAAAAATAGATGACAACGGGAAGGGGTATAATATAGAATAGAAGGGAAAAATTGAATTTGATTAAGATTAGAGATGAGGATGAAGGGTAATATTGTTTTTTTAAAAAAATAGATGAGGAATAAATATGGCAAAAAGGAAATATAGAAATTGTAAATTTAATTGAAATGAATAAACACTGTTTAAATTTGTGAACCGGCCAAATATTCTGTTCAAAGAAAATACATTGTATGTTTGTATGTGTGTTTCTAATTATTGCTATTTATTCATATTTGTTCTCTTTTATTCTTTAAAGTTTAACAATTCATTCTTTATCTTAATATCTTCATATTTGTTTGGGGTTGGTTTTCTTCCCTTTCATCTTTTTTATTGTACAGAAATCTTTCTCCTCAAACCTACCACCTCTCTCTTTTCTTTTCTTTTCTTTCCTTCTTACTTTCTCTTCCCCCCCTTCTCCTCCCTACTTCCTCTTCCTTTCTATTTCTCTTCCTCTCTTCCTCCCTCTCTTACCCTCACTCCTACTCTAATTTCCCTTCCCTTCCTTCATCCCTCTCTATTGCTGTATCCTTTTATGCATATGGACTACTCAGAGGGCTGAAAAAGTTATTTTTGACTGGTCCTTGCACTTTTGACCAGTCCTCGAACTTACGACATTTTACGTTTTTGCCCTATCTTGTCACCATGGTGAAGAGAAGCAGTTGTGAAATGAGTGACATGGTTGTTAAGGATGCTACAATGGGCATAAATGATGACCAGTCATAAGTGCGAAGACCGGTCAAAAGTGTGAGGACCTGTCAGAAATCACTTTTTTCAGCCCTCTGGGTAGTCCTTTTGTGCACATGGACTACTCAGAGGGCTGAAAAAGTTATTTTTGACTGGTCCTCACACTTTTGACCAGTTCTCGAATTTACGACTGTCCTCACATTTTACATTTTTTGCCCTATCTTATCACCATCATGAAAAGAACCAATTGTGAAATGAGTAACATGGTTGTTAAGAATGCTGCACGGGCATAAATGTGAGGATGGTCATAAGTGTGAGGACCAGTCAAAAGTGGGAGGACCTGTCAGAAATGACTTTTTTCAGCCCTCTGAGTAGTCCTTATACACATAGCCATAGCCACCAGGTCACATGACCAGCTAGCCATGCCCACCCAGTCACATGACCTCCAAGCCACGCCCAAAAATAAGCCACGCCCACAGAACCGGTAGTAAAAAAATTTAGAACCCACCCCTGGTTGGGGGTCACCACAACATGAGGAACTGTATTAAAGGGTCGCGGCATTAGGAAGGTTGAGAACCACTGTTCTGTTGGCTCCTCCCTTTCCTGGGCATCTTGGTCTTTATTCATCATCCCTTGTATTTTCCACTTTTCCCGTAATCTCCTTAAATCCTTTCTCCATGATGTCCTTTGTGTTTTGAAAAAGTAACACCATCTCCTTCAAAGTTCCAATCATTTCTTCCTTATAAAGCATCTTATTTTGTTTTAAAAAATTCAACTTTTGTCCAGCAATCCAAGAACTATTTATTTAGTCCTTAAATTGCCTTTCAAGGAGTGCACTAATCACAGTTCTTTATATCCCTTTGGTAAACAATCAGTACCATTTAAATAGTCCCAGAGGTTATCAAAAGGCTCTTTACATCCTCTTTACCGGTTCAAACTTCTAGGATAACATTCAGGGGTCCCTTTAAGTAGTCATAGGGTAGTTAGGAATAATCCAGTAAATATTTTCACAGTTCTTCATGTAAGTATTCCCAGACTTGTAAATTTTCTTTTCATCAGCAGGTGGCGCTCTCAACTTAAATTTCAGTATTGCTTTTAGTCAATCGTCATTTTAGTTGTAAATCAATTATAAAAGCAGAATAAGTTTTGTAAGTAAATGATTCCAGCATTTTAAAATGCCTTCCCAGTACCACTTCTTCCCAGTTTAAGAGTCCAATTTTCTGTTTATTTCAAAATTTATTATTTCTGTCTCTTGCGTCTTCCACTTCCGTTCTGATATTTTCTCAGAATGCTTAAACGCCACTTTAACAACTAGTTCTGAGCAAATAGTTTTAAATTGTTCCTTGGGGTTAAGTTTAAGGCAAAAAGGAATTCTCTTCCCTCAGTTTCAATCACTGTTCACCTACTTCGCTCCAGCACCAGTCTTAGTTGTTCCTCGGTTGTCCCAGCTTTGTGGCAGCCATCTTTAGGCTGTCTCCTTGCTATGGTTGAGAGGGAAAAAGAAGCCCTGGTCAGACAGGAGAGCTGCGACTCCGTGACCTTACAGGGCGCCCCTCTTTGCTTCACCACCCCTACAGGGTGGCTTTGGCTCCTCTTGGAGCCCACAAACAGAGAGACACATTCCCTGTGTCTGATATCACCACAACATCAACCGGAAGTCTCATACTTCCAAATTGCTTTGATTGTTGTTCAGATTATTGCAGAGATCTTAAGATTGCAAGAAATCTTTATACCCATTTGAACAGTCTGGATCTTCTGATTTCCCTGGTGCTTGACAGGGAGCGCACTTTCCTTGACTCCCTCCCCCGCCCCTCCACAGCAACCCCCAGCAGGCATGGGAGCAAGCAGCCAAATTGGAAAAAGGATTGCAATTCTCATCCACAGAGACAGCCCCTCCCTGGAGAGAGGAATTCTTTTTTTTTTTTTTAATTTGATTTATATGCCACCCTTCTCCAGAGACTCAGGGCGGCTTACAATGCGTTAAGCAATAGCCTTCATACTTTTGTATATTTATACAAAGTCAGCTTATTGCCCCCACAAATTGGGTCCTCATTTCATCTACCTTAGAAAGGATGGAAGGCTGAGTCAACCTTGAGCCTGGTGAGATTCAAACTTATAGTAATTGCAGACAGCTGGTGTTAATTACAATGCTTTTAGTCTGCTAAGCCACCAGGCCCTTGTTAGGATCCTCCCCTAGAGTTCCTTTCCTGTTACTAATCCACATCAAGGAGCTTTTCTCCTGGAAATTCCTCTCCCCCATGTTTTTCCAGCCGCCATTCTTTGCCCCTCTGTTTTGTGCAGTCCTCCTGTTGCCTTCCCTGCCCCACATTCTTCCCTCAGAGCAGGTGGGTAGGTAAGGCTGAGCTGAGCTGGATCTTCCCTGCAGATCAGCTGATCAGAGGGTCCCAGGCAGGAGGTGCTGAGCCCCAAAGGAATTGCAGGCAACCCATGATCTCTCCATGGATACCTTGGAGAGACTAATCACTAGGATGAATTGCTCATCTGGGGAGACACGCCGCAGCTGGTGTCTTGGGGCGGAGAAAGTCCCCATATTCCTCTTGCCACCTTCATGGCTGCTTGCTGCTTTTGCACTTAAACTTAGCGTGCTGCACAATGGGAGAGATGGAGTCCCCTCCTCCTCCTCCTGGAGCCCATTATGACGTGAAGCATTGGCTGCAGCCGGGCAGGCGAGCCAGTGTCTAAGCGTGGAGAAAAGCCATGCATCTCCCAACAAGAGCTGGAAAAAGAGGCAAGTAGAGGGGCGCTTCGCTTCCACTCTGGAATATGGAGTGAGTCTCTCTCTGCCACCATCGCCCTTCTCTTCTCAGGACAGGTGAGGAGTGAGTGGGGAACAGCCAGCCGAAAGGGAACCACAGCAGGGGGACGAAAGAGCTTCATTTAACTGGGAACCTGAAATGACTCTTGATTTAAATCATATGGTAAAAAGCACCCAAAGAAGAAAGAACAACATCAGCAAAAAACCAAACCCAACCCTCGCCTGTTTTTGGAAAGGAATTTTGCAATGCATGGTTTATTTTGGTATCTTTCCAGAGACAGAAAGAATGTGGCTGAATTTCCTTAGTTATTCCATGGGGGTGGGGAGTGGGGGAGAGGGAGGGAGGAAGAGAGAGAGAAAGAAAGAAAGAGAGGAAGAGAAAGGGAAGAAGGAAGAGAAAGGAATTTTTGGATTTCACCACTAGTTTGTACAGATGATTGGTGGGGGAGGGGAATGCACGGCACTCTGGGATGGAGAGTGGGGCAAGAGAATGCTCCAATGTTCGCTTGGGTGGCGGAGGGAAACTCAAAGCATTGGGGGCTTCAGAAGGGGCAAAATGTGCTTTAAAATGTACAGCTCCTGGTTCTAATAGTGAGTGATGTCAAGTTGGCCACACCTATCCATTCACATGACCACCAAGCCACGTCCACAGAACTGGTAGCAAACATTTCACCCCTGTTCAAGTGGCCCTTTGAGTGTTTAAGGTTGCAGAACCCTGTCCCATACAATTTCAAAAAATGGCTGTCCAGTCCAGTCTCTTCTTGAAAGCCTCCATTGATGGAGCACCCTGAGCTACTGAAGGGAAGCCATTCCACTGATTAATTGTTCTCACTATCAGGAAACTTTACCTTAGTTTTAGCTTGCTTTCCTCCTCAATTAGTTCCCATCCATTGTTTCTTGTCTCGCCTTCTGCTGCTTTGGAAAATAGGTTGAACCCCTTTTTCTTTGTGGTAGCCCCTCAAATATTGGAACACTGCTATCATCTCACTACCATATCATTTTATTTTAATCTGAATTTTAGATCTTTTGTCCACACATTCTCCCATTGTTTAAGCATTATTTTATATGGAAAACATGCCTTTAAAGCAGGGGTGTCAAACTCAAGGCCCAGCGGTTGGATTCGGCCCATGGGGCTGCCCTCGAAACAGCGAAGGACTGGCCCTCGGTGCCTCTGCCAATGAAAACAGACCTTGCGAGGTCTGCGCGTGGGTTGTTTTTGTTGGCAGAGAGTTGTAGGAGGCCATCGTAGCTGAAAACAGAGCTCAGGAGCCCATTTTCTCTGGCAGAGCACTTGGGCCACTACAGGTCCCTGACATGAGTGACATCATGCTTGCCCACCTAGGCCACGTCCGCTCCGCCCCCACCGAGAGCAAACACAACCCTGGTGCGGCCAACAATGAAATCGAGTTTGATACCCCTGCCTTATACCGTTCCTCTCAGCCTCTCTGCAGCCACCGGTGCTTTACCAGACGTGAATGGACACACACACACACACACACACACACACACACACGCACGAAACTTCAGTTCCAAAACCTGGTTTAATGAAAGCAACTACAGCGACGAACAGTAGGCACTGAGCTGCATAGTGAATCAAAGTCGGAGACGCCTCTGCTCTCTGCCTGGCTAGTTTTATGGGGCGTTATAGGGCATGGACATCGTTAACAGCCCAGCAGGCAATCTCTTTTAGCTGTTACAATCCAATCCGCCACTTGTTTCGTTTTATTCCTTTGCCGTTGGGTCGCAGCCCCTTGACGTCAGTCTTCTCCTCATACTCACTCCCTCAGACGCTGCTTCTTAGTCCAACCCCCACCCCCTCTTGTGTTCCGACCATCACCCACTATCAGTGTGTTGTTGTCCTAACGCAACACCCTCCTCCACCGTGGTTCATTGTTGGATTTTGTTCAGACATTCCGGATTCTCCAATGGTATTCCCCCCCCCCTTATGGTCTTCTATGCTGTTAAGGTGTGTGGTATCCATGCTGTTAAGATGTGTGGTGTCGAGGGGTATCTGACCTCGACAGTTCCAGACAATTGGCTGTCCAATCTCCTTTTAAAAACCTCCACTGATGGAGCACCCACAACTTCTAGAGCAGGGATGTCAGACTCAATTTCATTGAGGGCCGCATCAGGGTTGTGTTTGACCTCAGAGGGTGCATGTTGGGTGGGGGATAGGCGTGGCCATAGTGGGCGTGACATGAGACCACAGCTCCACACACATTGTTTTATAAACTTATAAAAATAGAGAGGTGTACATTTCTGATTTTGTTTTTTTTTAATATTACTTGATCTACTTGATCACCTTATGAGAGAGAGACCAGATCAAGAAACTAGAACTATAAATTATTGGCATAGGTTATAGTAGCAGAATCCTGCAAGCCTGAAAGGTAAAATATTTAACCTTTCCTCCCTTTTATAACCTTGTGAGTCAAGAATGGCCTCCTGGAGTCCCCGTTTTGGGCCTGGACAGCTTATTTTAATGGGCCTTTTGGATTTCTGTGTAAATGAGCCATTCCACTTTTCCCTCTTCTTATTTTTCCTATAAGCAGGGGTGTCAAACTCAATTTCATTGAGGGCCACATCGGGGGTGTTGTTTGACCTCAGGGGGTGTGTGGCCACCTCAACACCACTCCTCAATTGTGTCGAGGGCACCTGTAGTTTAACCTGTAGATCCGCTCGAGCTCCATTTTTGCTGGCAAAGTCACCACAGGCCAGTCCTTTGCTGTTTCCAGGCCAGCCCCGCCGGCCAGATGTAACCACCCCGTGGCAATTGTTTAAGGCTGCACCTACAAACAAGACCTTTATCAACTTTTATGATGCAGCAACTGCCTAATCTTGTGAATAGGGGAAAGCATCACTCTTCAAGCTTCCCTCAGTTGCAAATATAGTTTTGGAGAGTTATCCTGCACCCCAAGAGAAAGAGCTGGATGGAATAGTCTTCACGGATCCTCAAGGGAGGTGCACTTTGTCTCTGCCTGATGGCACATTGTGTTCTCTCCACGGATGATTTCCTTGGTTCAGTTCCTGCAAAAGAAGGTCCTGGCTGAGTTGGAGTGACAATGAGGGCATCCCTACCAGACCCCAAAGGACAGAAGGGCTTGACTCAAGAGCCTTCCATTCAACAGCTTCACTGTTACAGCTTCAATCATTTGCCAAGGCAGCTTTCCAAGACTTATCCTGCATCCCCTGAGATGTAAAATTGGCTGGAACAATCTTCATCAGCCCCCAAGGGAGGTGCACTTTCAGGTTGGATATTATAGTCATTCCCCTACTAGGACACTTTCCTTTGATTTAGTTGGAGCAAGAGGGAAAATGTGTGCGCCAGTGGTGGGTTCCTCCCGGTTCGGCCGATCCAGTAGCAGTGACAATATGACATCACTGAACCGGTTCTGCCCCCCCCCCCGGTTATTCTTACCTTTTATTTGGCTCCACCCCCAATATATTGCTGCCTCCTGAGTCCCAGCTGATGGCTACAGGGGAAAAAACTGTTTAAACTCTTGCCGCAGGGCTTCAAAGGGCCGCCCTTGATCAGTGTTAAAAGAAAACAAATGAGTAGACCGGTGCCTGCAAAAATAAATGGGTAGACCCAGTGGTGGGATTCTACTTCGGTAGAACTGGTTGTTAAGTAGTTGAGTAGTTAAGTAGTTAAGCAGTTCAGAGAACCGGTTGTTAAAAGAAATCTCCTTTTTTTCCCCACTTTACAGGATTAATCCTGTAAGGATTAATTACAACATTTGGTGGTGTTTCCTAGCCTAATCTTTATTACAGAAACTGCCTCTCTGGCAGTATGGCTAGACTTACTGTCACTTCCAGTTCCGGAGGCTATTTTTTTGCTTGACTTTCTTAAAGAGGACGGATTGTTTTAAGCTTTTTACACTGCTGTTGGGAGGAAATACTCCCCTGTTGGAGTTCTTCCATCCAGGGTGCAATCATCAGCACTTTGAAGAAATAATTGAATCCTTTTGTGCATATGGACTACTCAGAGGGCTGAAAAAGTTACTTTTGACTGGTCCTCGCGCTTTTGACCAGTCCTAAAACTTACGACTGTCCTCACATTTTATGTTTTTCGTCCTATCTTGTCACCATGGTGAAGAGAAGCAGTTGTGAAATGAGTGACATGGTTGTTATGAATGCTGCACGGGCATAAATGTGAGGATGGTCATAAGTGTGAGGACAGTCAAAAGTGCAAGGACCTGTCAGAAACGATTTTTTTCAGCCGTCTGAGTAGTCCCTATACACATAGCCATGGCCACCCAGTCACATGACCTCCAAGCCACGCCCACAAAATGAACCACGCCCACAGAACCGGTAGTAAAAAATTTTAGAACCTACCCCTGGATGTGCCCTCTTGGGAGACCTGAAAAAAAAGGTACAGCATAGATCGTCATGGACGAAAGCTATTCCTGTGCTCGGTGGGAGTCGAATAAGACTTGATGGCATGGAAGTAAGGACGGAATCCATGAAAGCCCCTTGTAAATCCTCCAGGGTAGAGATAGGACGAGGGTGATTTTCAACCTTACGTCGCTAGATGGCGCTCTACAAACAAGCAACACTCGCGCCTTGAAAGCAGAGAATAAGAGAAAAGCAGCGGCATCGCTAGTATTGACATTACACCGGAGGGAGGGAGGCCGAGTTGGAACAAATTGGAACGATAGAGTATTAGATTGCTAGAGAGGAGGAAGAGGAGAGAGGAAGTTCCTCTTCCGGGTCACCCACGGGAGGAGGACGGAGGCGTCGGCGGAGCCTCTTGTGCTGCTCGGAGGGCGGAAGCGGCTCCTGGGAGGTGAGTGGAGGGAAGGTCGGAGGAGAAGCCTTTTGGGTTCCTGCAGGGCCTGGAAGCAGCGAAGGGACAGGAATGAAACATGAGGGCTGCTCCTGCTGCAGATTCTTTCTCTCCCCCAAATGTTTTTATTATCCTTTTTCTCCAGGATTTAAAGTTGCTGCCTGTGATTTTCTGCTGGGAGATTTTAAGAAATCTTATATATATATATATATCTTATATATATGAAATATATATATATATGAAATATATATATATGAAATATAAAGCCTTGTGGTTTTATTGACATGTCGTTTTCCTGGCAAGCGAGGAGTTTCATGGGCAAAAGGGATTTTGTCACCCTTTCCTCTCTCAGTGTCCCCACCTTTTAAAAAACAGATTAAAACATTTGAGCGAATTCCCTCCTGAGTCCTTTTGCAGACTGAAATACACATAATTGTTCACATGAATAAATTCTTAGGAGTTTATTTCTGTGTCAATAGGAACCCACGTTCAGTGCATTCGGACAGCATTCAGACCCCTTTCACTTCTGTCAACTTTGTTATTTTTCACCTGTTGAAATTCATTTTTTCTCATTTCTCATCTACCTCAATAATGACAAAGTGAAAACAGAATTTTAGAAATGCCTGTAAATCTATTAAAACAAAACAACCTGAAATATCTCATTGACATAAGTATTCAGATCCTTCCCTCAGTACTTTGTTGAAACACCTTTGGAGGCGATTACAGCCTCAAATCTTTTTGGATATGAGGCAATAAGCTTTGCACACCTGGATTGGGGTTTTTCTGCCATTCTTCCTTGCAAGTCCTCTCAAGCTCAGTCAGGTTGGGTGGAAACCATTGATGAAGAGCCATTTTTAGGTGCCTAAGAGTATTCAATAGGGTTCAAGTCAAAACTGTGGCAAGGGCCCCTCTAGGACATTCAGAGTTGTCCCTAAGCCACTCCTATGTTGTCTTGGCTGTGTCCCTTGTCATGTTGAGAAGTGAACCTTCGGCTCAGTGTGAGGTCCTGAGTGCTGTGGAACAGGTTTTCATTGAGGATATCCCTGTACTTTGCTCCATTCAGCTTTGCTCCACTCAACTCTGCCCCATCTCCACACAGGATCTCTGAAGCTCAGTCAGAGTAACCATCAGGTTCTTGGTCCCCTCTCTTACTAAGGCCCTTCTACCCCAATTGCTCAGTTTGACCGGACGACCAGCTCTTGGAAGAGTCCTGGTTGTGCCAAACTTTCTTCTCCATTTGAGAATTATGGAGGCCATTGTACCCTTAGGACCCTTTGGTGCAGCAGAAATTTTATGGTAGCCTTCCCCAGATCTGTGCCTTGCAATAATCCTGTCTCTGAAGTCTGCAGGCAGTTCCTTTGGCCTCATGGCTATTGTTCTGCTACAGTATGCATTGTCAGGTGAGAGGCCTTCTATGGAGAGTGTGTGCCTTTCCAAATCATGTCCAATCAGTTTAATTTACCACGGGTAGACTCCAATCAAGGTATAGAAACATGTCCGCACAATCAAGGGAAATGGGAGGCACCTGAGCTAAATTTCAAGTGCTGTTGCAAAGGGACTGAATACTTATGCCAATGTGATATTTCAGTTTTTTTCCTTTTACTAAATTTACAGACATTTTTACTTTGTCATTATGGGGTACTCTATGTAGATTAAGGAAGGGGAAAATGAAGTTCAACAGCCGTAGAATCAAGCTGCAGCATAACAAAATTGACAAAAGTAAAGGAGGTTTGAATACTTTCTGAATGCACTATATTTAGAAAGATAAGAACATTTCATGTTAAGTGACAGGCCTGGGTTGTATTGGGCAAAATGCCTGCAGAGCATTTTGGGGAAGAGAGACTGGTGTGCACAAGAGGCATGTTGGTTGAGCTCCAAAGAGGCTTCTATTGTTGGAATAAAATGCCCTGTGGAGAGTTTTTCTTTATATTCTGTTCATCCAGTCCTGCTTCCTCTAGTTATTCTATTATTTATTATTTATTTATTTATTTTATTCAATTTGTATACCGCCCTTCTCCTAGTGGACTCAGGGTGGTGCATAACCAAAACTAAAACACATACCAATACAAAATTTTAAATTTTAAAAGAATTACATAACTTTGGCCCAAAATTTAAAACATTCTTAAAAACACTCCTAAGAATTTATTCATGTAAACAATTATGTGTATTTTCTGTTTATGTGTATTTCAGTCTGCAAAAGGACTCAGAAGTGCATTCGCTCAAATGTTTTAGAAAGAAAGTTGGCATTGTGAAACAGAAGAAAGTTGGCATTGTGATATGACTTCATGTTTAATGATTGGGCTACTTACTGATACAGATGCCAATCAGAATTGCAGTCAGGGCAAAATTAGTACATAAAATCTTGTAGAGGGTTTAGGTATCATTTCATCAGGTAAAAACCCACACCTCTAAAGTTAGCTCAGAAGGTTCGACTATAACCATTTTGGAATAATTTTCAGACTAAAAACACATGGATTTTCCACATACATAGTTATAGGTGTGTGTATTTGTATTTCCCTCTGCATATATTTACAACTGTACAATCTATCCCCAGAATTTCCAGATATATTTAATGATAAGCTTTTGCACTGCTATGAATTTGTGAATCACCAAAGTGAAAATGATAATTCCTTGACTGAATGGATATTTGAACAAATGTGTCAAATAAATCATAACTAATGTAAAAGGTTATTCTTTATTGTGGCATGTTTGCTTATTGTAATGTATACTTTTTTTTTCTTCACATCTTTTCAGTCACAATTCCACCCTGGTAATACACCAGAAGACTCATATGGGAGAGACACCCTTTGCACGTCCTGACTGTGGGAAATGTTTCAGTAGGAATTCCCACCTGGTGACACACAAGAGAACTCATACCCTGGAGAAACTATATGAATGTCCTAAGTGTGGAAAAAGTTTCAGATGTAATTCCAACCTGGTATCACATCAGACAATTCACACAGGAGAGAAACCATATGAGTGTCGAGAGAGTGGGAAATTTTTCAGTCATAATTCCACTCTGGTATGGGAAAAGTTTCAGACATATTTCTAGTCTGATAAGACACCAGAGGATTCACACAGGAGAAAACCATATGAATGTTCAGAAGGTGGGAAATGTTTCAGTCAGAATTCCCATAATAATTCCAACCAGGTGACACACTAGAGTACTCACACAGAGGACAAACTACATGAGTGTCCAGATTGTGGCAAAAGTTTCAGTCAGAATTCCGGCCTAATGAGACACCAAAGGACTCAATACCAGGACAAATTATATCAATGTCCAGAGTGTAAGAAAAGTTTCAGTCATAATTCCAGCCTTGTGAAACACCAGAGGACTCACACAGGAGAGAAACCGTATGAGTGTCCAGAATGTGGGAAATGTTTCAGTAAGAATTCCACTCTCGTGATACACCAGAGGACACACACAGGAGAGAAACCGTATGAATGTCCAGAATGTGGGAAATGTTTCAGTCACAGTTCCAACCTGGTGACACACCAGAGGACTCATACAGGAGAGAAACCGTATGAATGCTTAGAATGTGGGAAAAGTTTCAGTAAGAATGCCAACCTTGTGAAACACCAGAGGACTCACACAGAAGAGAAACTGTATGAATGTCCAGAATGTGGGAAATGTTTCAGTAAGAATTCCAACCTGGTGACACACCAGAGGACTCACACAGGAGGGAGACCGTATGAATGTCCAGAATGTGGGAAATGTTTCAGTAAGAATTCCAACCTGGTGACACACCAGAGGACTCATACCCTGGAGAAACCATATGAATGTCCTGTGTGTGGAAAAAGTTTCAGATGGAATTCCAACCTGGTATCACATCAAACGACTCACACCGGAGAGAAACCGTATGAGTGTCCAGAGTGTGGGAAAAGTTTCAGTCATATTTCCAGTCTGATAAGACACCAGAGGATTCATACAGGAGAAAAACCGTATGAATGTCCCGAGTGTGGGAAAAGTTTCAGTCGTATTTCCAGTCTGATAAGACACCAGATGATTCACACAGGAGACTATATCAATGTTCAGAATGTGGGAAATGTTTCCGTAATAATTCCGACCTGATGATACACCAGAGGACTCACACAGAGGACAAACCGTATGAGAGTTCAGATTGTGGCAAAAGTTTCAGTCAGAATTACAGCCTAATGACACACCGGAGGACTCACAGCCTTGATAAAGGCTAATTACTTGTTTCTGGTGATCAGCAGAACTTTCATGATATTTCCTTTTGCAGAAGTGTGGAATTCTTCAAGAAGGCTTTTGGGTGGTGTTTTTTTATATTGATTATTGAATTCGCACGATTGGAGTTTCCATCTTCTACCTTGGTGTCCTCCAGATTTTGAATGCCAGAATTTTCCAACTACATACAAGTAGTCCTCGAGATATAAGGGTAATGGGGCCTATCTATTATGGTTTTATGTTGCAACCACAATTAGGGTTTTATGTTGCAATCACCGTTAAACGAGACTGCTTGGCTTAACTACCCCCACCCCCTTCTCTCCCTGGATCCATTCCAGTCAGGTTTCAGGCCCGGGTACAGCACGGAAACGGCATTGATCGCGTTGGTTGATGATCTCTGGAGGGCTCGGGACAGGGGGTGCTCCTCTGTCCTGGTCCTGTTAGACCTCTCAGCGGCTTTTGATACCATCGACCATGGTATCATGCTGCACCGGTTAGAAGAGTTAGGGGTGGGAGGCACTGTACTACGGTGGTTCTTCTCCTTTGTCTCCGGCCGGTTGCAGTCTGTGTTGGAGGGGGGCAGAGGTCGACCCCGAGGCCCCTCATATGTGGGGTGCCACAAGGGTCGGTCCTCTCGCCCCTTTTGTTCAACATTTATGTAAAGCCGCTGGGCAAGATCATCCGTGGTTTTGGGGTGAAGTACCACCAGTACTCTGATGACACCCAGCTGTACATCTCCACTCCGGACCACCCCAACGATGCCCTTGAAGTGATGTCTCGGTGTCTGGAGGCCGTGCGGATCTGGATGGGGAGGAACAGGCTCAGGCTCAACCCATCCAAGACTGAGTGGCTGTTGTTTCCGACGTCCCGATATAGTCAGTTGACGCCATCGCTGACTATTGGGGGCGAATCACTGGCCCCCACGGAGAGGGCTCGCAACTTGGGCGTCCTCCTGGATTCACGGCTGTCTTTAGAAGAGCACTTGACGGCCGTGACCGGGAGGATCTTTCATCAGGTTCGCCTGATTCGCCAGTTGCGTCCCTTTCTGGATCGGGACTCCCTACACACAGTCACTCATGCCCTCGTCACCTCCCGCCTGGACTATTGTAACGCTCTCTACATGGGGCTCCCCTTGAGGAGCACCCGGAGGCTCCAACTGGTGCAGAGTGCGGCCGCGCGGGTGGTTATGGGAGCAACATGGCGCTCCCGTGTGACACCTCTCCTGCGCGAGCTGCACTGGCTCCCGGTGGTCTTCCGGGTGCGCTTCAAGGTTTTGGTTACCACCTTTAGGGCGCTCCATGGCTTAGGACCTGGCTTCTTACGGGACCGCCTACTACCACAAACAGCCTCCCACCGGCCAGTACGCTCTTATAGAGAGGGGCTCCTCCAGGTGCCGTCAGCCAAACAATGTTGACTGGTGGCCCCTAGGGGGAGGGCCTTCTCTGTGGGGGCACCTACTATCTGGAACAAGCTCCCCCCGGAGATACGGAGGATCCCAGATCTGCACACTTTCCGCTGTGCTTTGAAGACACTCCTATTCCAGCAGGCCGGCCTGGCTTAATTTTCTCCCCTTCTTTTAAATCTTTTAAATTTTTAAATTGAAATTTTAATTGGTTTTAAATTATTGGGAATTTTAATTGTCTCGGGCAAAAATTATTTAATTTGGTTTTAATTATGTTTTTTAACTTTTGTATTTATGTGTTTTATTTTGTGCCTGTTCACCGCCCTGAGTCCTTCGGGAGTAGGGCGGTATACAAATTTAATAAAATGAAATGAAAAATGAAATGAAATAAAGCTGATCAATGAATGTGTGAGTTATTAAGTGGTGAAGATCACTGAACATTATTTTGGGAAAAGAGGATGCAGGACATGCATCCCTGGGCCACATGATTGTGTTGTGGAAGCAGCCATCATTTTCATTGTGCCTGGAATTCATGGTGACAGCAGGGATCAAACATGCCGTCAGTAATGAGTCCCTTCATGCCCACAAGAGATTTAAATCCAGCCCACCTTGAATTTCTTTGACTCTCATATACTTCCAAATTGCTTTTTTCCAAGTTTCAATCAACTTTTATATTTCTAATAATAATACACATATTAAGTTGCAGTCTGTCATTGTTCAGTTATTCCATGTTTTCTCTTATTGCTTTTATTTTATTATGTAAAAGTGTATACACTGTTTCCCCTTTCTCTTATTTCTATCTCTTATTCTAACTTTTAATCATGTCACCCTATATTAAAAGACATTTTCTTTCTGTCCTACCTAGCTTCTAGTCTTTTCACCTACCTAAAAAAACAAAAGAAAAGGGAGAGAAAAAGAAAAGCAAATAAGAACAACAAAAAAGAAAAATCATCTATCCATCGTCTCCTGCCCGCTTCAGTACTTTAATTACTCTGCTTTGTTTTGCTTACCTCCCATATTCCTCTCTTGGATCTTTATGCAGAAGTCTGCATTTACTTCTTGGCAATTCAGTCTACATTTTTCTCCCACCTCTACTCTCTTCCACTGCCTAGTTTCCAAAATTTTTACCCGGGCCTCTATCTCCCTTTCAAAAGTATCTTCCTGTATCTCCAATTCTCTTTTCAACTCTCTTAATATATTTTCCCCCTGATTTAATTCATCTGTTACTGTTATTTTCATTGTTATCTCCTCCTTAACTTCTTTTGTTCTCTGGTTCTTCGGTGCAGTCATTTCCTCCATTTCTTCTGTTGGCTCCTCCCTTTCCTGGGCAACTTGGTCTTCACTCATCATCCCTCGTATAGTATTTTCTATTTTTTTCCGTAATCTCCTTAAATCCTTTCTCCATGATGTCCTTTGTGTTTTGAAAAAGTAATGCCATCTCCTTCAAAGTTCCACTCATTTCTTCCTTATAAAGCATCTTATTTTGCTTTTTAAAATTCAACTTTTTTAAAAAAAAAAGTTTATTTTTTATTTTTTATACAAACATACAATGTATTTTTTCTGAGTGTTGGCCATTTCACAAATTTAAACAATTTATATATTTCCCCTTTTGCCTTAGTATTTATTCTAACTCTTTTTTTAGACCAATATTACCCTTCATCCTAACCACTAATCTTAACCAAATTCAATTTTTCCGTTCATCTCTATTTTAAACCCCTTCAATTTCAAATCTCACCACATAATGTAATTCCTAATATTTCCTTATATTCCCTTGATATAATCACTATTTTCAATTATCAATTATTTCAATATAATAGAATCTAGCATCTTAATAAAAGTCAATTAATTATGTAGTATTACAATCATGCATTTCTTATAAAAATAATAAACCAAATTGTTTTATACATTTCTTTAAATCTTATTCCAAATGACACAATCCATCATCTTAATAAAAATCAGTTAATTATATAACAGTCTTTCTCTTTATATAATAATAAATCAACTTGCTTTTCCTGAATCTTGCCTCTAATTTTCAATTACTTTGTCAAACATTTATATTTGTACCTCTTCAAACAACATCTTAATCATTTCTACTTTCACCACAACCTAGTTAGTTCATACTTTGTTTGTATTACATGTATTTTTATCGTTCGCTGTTCACCGCCCTGAGTCCCTTAGGAATAGGGCGGTATATAAATTTAATAAATAAATAAATAAATAAATACTTTGAACTAACTTTTTTTCTTTTTTAGATTCCAAATATGCAGTTAAAGATATTCCAGTTGTTAGTTTTTCTTAAGTTTAAAAATATTCCAGCTGTTAGTTCCAACAGTGCAATTTAAAATCTCATTTATTTAAACTTATATTATAAAACTTATTTCAATTCATTCATATATTCATATAATTTTCCATTATTTTATGTTACTTAATATCACAATCTCATCTTTTTCTAACAAATCTTTCTTCAATTCATATTTCAATTTTAAGTGTATACAACATATATCTCTTCATTTCTTTCTCCCTTTCTTTTTTTCTTTTTCTTCCTTTTTCTTTTCTTTTGGGCTTTAAAATCCTGAACTCTCCTGTTTTGCCCTGTATTTCCCGTTATTTTCCATCTCTTTTCCCTTTTTCTTCTTTCTGCACTGTTAGTCCCAGTGTAATCATTTTGTATTTTAAAATCCTGGACAATTCTATTTTGCCCTGTATTTCCCATAGTTTTCCATCCCTTTTCCCTCTTTCTTGTTTTCCCACTGTTAATCTCATTGTAATCTTTTAAATTTTTTATATTCTTTCTGTTCCACCCTTTCTTCCCTCTTTATCTCTTTCCATCCTTTCTGTTTTTTCCATTGTTAATCCCAATGTAATCTTTAACGTTGCGTTGTAGTTCTTTTTTTTTTTTAAATCATCAAAGTCAAGCCTTACAGACAAACAAACTCTCCTCAGAAGTTCTCACGGCCGTTGTCACTATCCGGATTCAAGGTTTTTCCAAAATAAAAGTTCAGCATTGTAATGATCTTATTTCTCCTGAAGATGTCTCTCTACAATCCACTCAATTCCAATCAGCAGCCTGAAAAAGTATCCATTTTGTTTGTAATCCAAATTAATAATCTTTGCTAATTTTTCCCTTTTTCTTTTTACCTTTATATACGTCAAATCAATTTAAAGTTTAGTTCAAATTACTAAATCCGTTTTTCTGCTTTTTTTTGTACAAAACTTCTATTTCAGGGCTTAATTTTCAGTTTCTCTTTAAGTTTTCTCCAACATTCAAAAAGGGTCGGCTTACTTTCTTTCCAAACTGCACATTTGAGGGGTTCTATTTCTTCTGCTTTTTAAAGTTCTCCAAATATTTTTATCCAAAAAGTCAATTTTCTTTTTGGGTTTTGTCCCTTTAAATTACCGCTTTAATCTTCTTCCTTCCTTTCCCCGATGCCCATTAGCTGCTGTTATATAACAAAAAATTCAACTTTTATCCAGCCATCCAAGAACTATTTATTCAATCCTTAAGTTGCCTTTCAAGGTGTGCACTAATCACAGTTCTTCATATCCCTTTGGTAAACATTCAGTACCATTTAAATAGTCCCAGAGGTTATCAAAAGGCTATTTTTGTCCCCTTTACAGGTTCAATCTTCTAGGATAACATTCAGGGGTCCCTTTAAGTAGTCATAGGGTAGTTAAGAATAATCCAGTAAATATTTTCACAGTTCTTCATGTAAGTATTCCCAGACTTGTAAATTTTCCTTTCATCAGCAGGTGGCGCTCTCAACTTAAATTTCAGTATTGCCTCTAGTCAATCATCATTTTAGTTGTAAATCATTTATAAAAGCAGAATAAGTTTTGTAAGTAAATGATTCCAGCATTTTAAAATGCCTTCCCAGTATCACATCTTCCCAGTTTAAGAGTCCAATTTTCTGTTTATTTCAAAATTTATTATTTTTGTCTCTTGCGTCTTCCCCTTCCATTCTGGTATTTTCTCAGAATGCTTAAACGCCACTTTAACAACTAGTTCTGAGCAAATAGTTTTAAATTGTTCCTTGGGGTTAAGTTTAAGGCAAAAAGGAATTCTCTTCCCTCAGTTTCAA